GGCTTGTTTCTGCCTCTCCTGGACCCCTTTCTTCTCTCCAGACTCCATGCCCCACCCACAAAGCTAGGGCTGGTCTGGGAACAGCCATCACTCTCTCGAGTTTGCAGGGTGTTGACAAGCCTGGGCCAGCGAGCCCGGGAGGGAAGCAGAGAAGGCCGTGCTGTGGAAACAAGGCCTCGGAGGCCTCCTTTATCGCGCCAGGGTGGTTGCCTGAACAAAGTGCTTCAGCCGCTTGCTTCGCAGAAGAGCCTTGCTTTCTGCAGTATCATGCCAGTCTGTGCTGGAGCAGAGCACGGCAGGCCCTGATCCAGGGCACCAAGAGTGCCCAGTAATTTCAATTTCAGATAAACAATGGGTGATGGCTTAATATGGTTGTCTTAACAACTGTAGAGAAAGTAGTTGTTGTAAAAGATCCATCGTATGAAATTTGAATTGAACTGAGTAGCTGCTGCTTCTTAGGCTAAGCACAGTCCTTAGACCCTCCCCCCTCCTTCCATCACCTCCTTCAGAGAAGGACAAATGGGACCTGTGAGGATGAAGCCACATTTTTATGTTGCATCATATGATGCTATGGGTAGACTTTGAAATGGCCCCACTGGCTGGTGTTTGGGATGCTAGGTCCCCAGCTGATAGCACTGCTGGGAGAAGCCATGGAAACTTCAGGAGGTGGGGCCTATTTGGAAGAAGCAGGTCACCAGGCATAGGTCCTGAGGGGTCTATTAGTCCTGGCCACTTCCTGTCTTTCTCTGATCCCTGGTTTCTGGGAGAGGAACTGAAATGGCCCACCATGCCTGCCCCACCATGATAGACTCTGCATGAGCCAAAATAAGCTTGTTCTACTAAATCATCTGGGGTAGGGATTTTCATCACAGTGACAACAAGTCACTACTACACAGGGCAGAGAAGGTGGTTTGCAAATGTAATTAAGGTTACTAACTAGTTGGGTTTGAGTTCATCAAAAGGAGATTATCTTGGGGCCCTAACCTAACCACATCAGCCTTATAAATCTGTGCCCAGAGACCAGAAATAGAACAAGTCAAGGGCTCCAAGAATTTGAGAATTGTTCTGGGGCCTTAGAGTTACAGGATGCTGGTATGGCAAAGCCACAGAGCAGGGACTAGCGGTCAGTCTCTATCAGCTGAGACCTACCCCTAATTAACAGTCAAGTACTTTGGTCTCACCTCAAAAAAAGGTGGATTCTGCCAACAACCTGTAAGAGCCTGAAAGAGGACCCTGAACCCAGATAAGCAGATTAGATACAGGCCTGGCCTCCACTTTGGTTTCATCTTTGGGAGACCCCAAGCATAGCACTCATCCAGACCACGGTGGACACCTCCTACACCCGGAAACAGGTCTAGACAATATGTGTTCAAGCTACTAAATCCATGTCAACATCTTATACCACAATAGTAACTAACAAGTTTGCCAAATGTGCTCCTCCGTCTGTATCCTGTGGTTTTCAAAACATATTTGTAGGGGTCCCCAGATTAGGTCACCAGGATGGAAAAGGAAATGGAGGGACACAGAGACCAAGATACAACAGATAAATTCATGGTAGCAACTTGGCCCAAAAGCAAGGTCAGGGGGGCACATCATCACGTGGTCTGCTGCGTGGCTTGTGCCTTGACACCTTAGCTAGATCCATGGACTGACTCCTTTCTGTCTGTCTTCTATGTCTCTGTCTCTCCCTCTCCTACACACTTTCCTTTCTAGGAAAAGAGGGAAGGAGGAGCCCATCACTTGTTTCCAAAGACAAATACAATTGCTATTTATAAATAAGTGTGCTATCAGCCAGAGCCTTAAGAACTTGAGTAGTCTGTGCAAGATACACGTGGGTGCGCAGGTAGGGAGGGGGTTGGCATGGATATAGGCAGAGATGCTGAGCCTCCCAGCCAGGGCCCTCCCTGAACACTGCCTTAGCTTTTGCTCCGGTGGAGTGGAGAAGTTTGGCTGTCTTCTGAGAGGGTCAGATGACCTTGCGGTATTTTTCAGATAGCCAAATCTCCAGATGTTCTCTGCGTATCGATTCCCCTCAACTTGCCTCCCAGTGGCTTCTTAGGTCCCTCTGGCCTTTGCACTGCTCTTGAAAGTGGCCAAAGAAAACTCTTAGGTGTCAGCCAGTCAGCATGGAGAGGTTCTCTTTCATCCCCTGAGTGTCTGGAGATGTGAGTTTAATGAGAGGCATCGACCTTTAAATTATACAAATGGACCTCTTTAGCAATCCCTTCCCTCCCCAGTCCATACCCACCCTCAGCTTTTAATCTTCTCAATTATATTTCCTTTCCATTGATTGCTACTTTGCCAACTTTCAGACTGAGCGTGCAGTAAAACCTCAGCTGCCAGGTAATGCGATTTCTTTTCCAGCCTGACGCCTGCATATCACCTCGTGAGGGGCCCACAGCCGCCCCCTCCCCAAGTCTTTGGGGTCTTGGCAGGTCCGTTGTCCTTGATTGCTTTTGCAAGATGGCTCCTTCCATCCAAAGATTGGAGCTCATGGTTAGGAAGCCGTAGAGCTGCAAGCCTCAAAACCGAAGTGGATTTGTATGCTGGCAGGTGCGGGCGGGGCAGTGAGGGTCTCTGGCCCTGACCGCCAGGCCTGGGAGTAGGCAGGTGCTGCTCCTGGGAGCAGGGAGCCCTTGGTCGCTTTCTCAACTCTGCTCTGACATTTCCAGCGACCTTCATTGAACCACTTAACTTTCTATGCTTCTCTTTGGTGCCATCTGTAAGGGCAAAGACAATGGCACTTGTCTGTGGAAACGCTTTGAGGGATAGTGCATAAAAGACGCAATGTAAAAGCAAGAGATGAGCGCAGCTTCCCATAAAGAGCCCCTTGTTTTCATCTGCAAGAGGCCGTATTTGAAGGCGAAGACGAGAAATTGAGAAATTTCCTTGACATCTGAGGCCAGGCAGAGGAGGTGGCTCAGGACCAGTGAGAAATCCTTTCTGTGGCTGGGGGCTCCTGAGAGGCTGCCGGGATGTGAGCTCAGCAAGGGGCATGCTGGGAATTGGCTGGCAAACAAACAATTCTGGGGTCTCTGCACCCAGGAGCACCGAGGGCCATATCTGGAATAGCCAAGCAGCCTAACAAGAAGCGAGGGCGTGTGGGAGCGGTTACAGGGGGATGGGGCTGTGGGGGGGGGCTGTGCGGGCGCCTCCCCTCCCTGTGATTTACCGGCATTGACGTGGGGATTCAGGGAGGAGGAGGGAGAGTCAGAGAAGTTTGGGGACATTTTCAAAACTGGAGGTCGTTCAGAGGAAATTACTCAATAAAAACCAGGTTTCTTTAACTGAATAGATCAATTTACAGCTCATAAGGTGGAAAAAGTCTGAGACTTCAAGATTCTGGCTGGGTGGGTCTCCTACGGTTTCCTCCCTTGGCAAAGGCGCTGTGGCTTTGGCTCTCCCACCCTGGGTACCCCTTCGGCAGCCTTCGGGCCAGCATTTTTCTCTCATCTTGTTTCCTTCTCGAGAGCTCTGCTACTTACTTTTTTTTTTTTTTCTGGTTAAGATTCTTTCCCTCCTCTCTTCCTCCTCCAGGCTTCCCACTTGCAGCTCCCACCTCCCCGCAGCCCTCTCAGAGAGGCCGTGTCAGCTTTGCTGTCCTGATGACAGGGATTCTTCTGAGCCCTCCTCGGCTGCCCCCTCCCCGCTGCTGAGCTCAGCATTCCTCCCCACTCTGGTTTCCCTCCCGGTCCCTAAAGCCTTTCCTGCCCCTGGCCACGGTTGGTTTTCCTTTGTACCCCTGGCACCTCTGTTCTCCCTCTCTGTCTCTTGCCCTCCGGACTTGCCCATACGGCCAGTCTCATCAGTTCCTGTTCTGATTTCATTCTTCAGGAGCTTTCCCTAACGCCAACCCCCCCCCCCAGACTGAACTTCTTCAAGTTGGATGCTAACTATGTCGATGTTGGGAGGCAAGACCAGGGTAAGATGGACAGGCCAAAAAGGACCATTCATCCATTCATGTATCCCTCATCTATCCTTCTGTCCTTCTCTCTCTCCTCTACCTGCCCGTCCACCCACCTCTCTAGCCATCCATTTTTGTGGCCATTCACCCGTGGCAATCAAAACCAGGCATAGTTTTGATCTACAGAGTTCAGCGGGAGAGGCAGAACATCAATACTCACACATTAAAATGCAAATCTATGGCAGCCGCTGAGGAGAAGTATATGGTACCAAGAGAGATCATTCCATTTGGGATTTGGCTGGCTTAGGACGAGGGAATTAAATAGAGACCTGAAGGCTTTGAGGGAATTCTGCACGGAAACTCCTTGGTAAAGATTGCCCTACCCATGCCTAACAAATCTCCTCCCAGTTGTAGGCCAAAGATGCTCACTCTTCCAGTTCAAGTCAGGGCTATTGTGTCAAAAATTAAAAAAAAGAATACATTTTATGAAAAACTAAGAGTTACTTAAAATATTCAGAGTCTGGTATCACAGGCATCAATGCTTCCCTGGGTACAGACCTTACAGAGCCGTGGTTCTCAACTTCCTAATGCCGTGGCCCTCTAATACAGCCCCTCATGTTGTGGTGAGCCCCAACCATGACATTATTTTGCTGCTATTTCATAACTATACTTTTGCTACTGTTATGAACCATAATGTAAATATCTGATATACACCATATCTGATATATGATCACTGAAGGGGTCACGACCCACAGGTTGAGGACACTATTTTCGAGGTTAGAAGGAGCACTTAGCATCTGGGAGGGAAGGGTGTGAGGAAGAGAATCACCTTCCGGAAGATCTCTTTGGGGGGGTGTCTCTGCGGGCTTGGGAACACAGTGCATCCCTAACTGGTCCAGAAAGCCGCCCTTCTTCCCTGGGAGTTCAGTGCTTCTATAAACCCAGGAGACCGGACAGCTGTAGAAACCTATCACCTCTCTTCCCCATCTCCCCGGCATCAGTCACAGATCCAAAGCAGCCACTGGGTTTCATGGTTTGATGGCCTCGTAATTGTTATTGGAACCTGCCGTGGATGGATTTACGGTAATGAACTCACCTGACGGCAAAGCCGCCTCAGGAGTCTTCACGGCAGGATCTTTCTTGAGTGAAGATATTAGAAAACCACTCCGTTAAAGGAAAAGCAATACTCACTTGTGACTTTAAGTTTAGGACAAACGCTGTTTGGGATTTGCTGTTGGCCTCTAACTTTAAATGCTATGTTGGCCTGTTGCTAGCCTACAAGGGTTTTGGCCAAGGCTTTGTTTATTTTGGCATCAAATGTATGTATCACAAGCAGTTTGTATATCTCTGGGCATGTGTGTATGAGCCTGTATACGTTATAAACTCCAGAACTTTTGAACACAAGGCTTCATGCTCTCTTAACAGATTCTTCTGGCCCAGAATACTTGCAACTGGCAGGCAGGGTGGCCATGTGCATTAACGAATTGCTTTCAGGTCACCCCACCCATTACAGCCACTCTTTGGCTTGGTCAGACTTGGCATTGAGTTCTCTGGCCTCTCTGGATTCCTGTCCTATTGAGTTATGGGCGAGGGAGGTGGCTCCTGCCAAGGATAAGGGGCTCTGGGGACAGTGGGTGCTTTCTGTAGCACCTCCATCTGTAGGCAAATCCTCAAGAATGCTTAGGATAGGGAGTTTGCTTCTAGCAGGGCACAAAGGCTCCATGTTTTTTGTGGCTTGGCATTAAGCAAACAACTGCTTTTTTGTTCGCTCCCCAAATGATTTGCCCAAACAAAAGGCAGCTGTCATGGGGAGAAAAGTACAATCTTTCCAGAGTTTTCCCCTTTCAGAGCCCCATCACACAGCATGCTTTCTGACTGTGCATTTTCACAACTCAGGGTCAGATTTCCTGCCTAGAAGGCAGGGCTTGCTGCTTTGGGATGGAAAGCCACCTTTAGTATCTCCGGAGCCAGTGTCCTTAGCAAGGCACCATCAGAGCTAAAGGTAAAGTTTACAGGCTGTCACCTGATCACTCTCAAATGCTGAAGGATTTCCCACCCTATGAGCCATGAGCCCAGCAACTGCCCTGGCTGGGATGCTGAGCTCTGAAGTTTGTTGCCCCCAAACTTCCATCTCCTTAGAAAGTTTCAAAGTCAGAATTTCATGTAACAAAAGATTGTTACTGAATTGAATGTCATCTTTTAGAAAAGACATGGCTTATCCATTTGTATCTTATTAAAATATGGTAAAATATGCGGAACAATAAAATTAAATGATATGGAATTTAATCCTCCTTGGAGGCTTGTCAGGATTAGGCCATGTCCTTATCTAAGGAGCACACTCGCCACAATCTGCAGACTTGGGCCAAATGTCAGCTTCCGGGTTGGGGATGGCATGCCACCTGGCCTGGGCTGCAGTACCCAGCCCTGCAAACTTGGGGTTGCCTGCCTGCCCTCTCCAAGTCTCCTCAAGACTCAAACACTCCAGTGTTTCATCACTTTGGATTCTGAATGCATTTCAGAATTTCAGAAAAGTTGCAACAGTGGCTTCCTCTATACCAGTGGCTCTCAACATTTCTAGTTATGTGTAGGCGTTTTCCTTTATAATTGTCTTTTGACATGAAATTTTAACATCAGACGTTCTGAATACCTGCTATGAACTCTATGTGTAGTTGAACTTTACAGGCAAACTGGGAAAGATTTTTCCACTCCCAGAGCAATTTTTAGTCCCTGGAGTGTGGTGGTATTCCTAGAGAACGCTGTTTCCTTTATAAACACTTTCTAATTTACCACAACTGCTTGATTTTCCTTTCTCAATACATATGTGCATAGAACTCACATATTTACACATATTAATGCATATTCATAAATATGCATATGTGTGTATATTATAATGTGTGTATATTATAACCTATAGTGGTTCTGAACCATTTGAGAAGAAAAATAAGATGCTTTATACCCTTTAATACTTAAAAAAACATTTCCTATAACTAACAACTGTCTTTATAAAAATATTTTAAAGTTTCAAATACTACATGGTTGTAGGTTTCTCAAGATCAGAAACCTATGTCTTAAACATCTTTGAAGACTGAATTCCAGGAGAGAGCCTAGCATATTATATTACCAAAGAATAAATTTCAAAATATTATTGCATATGTCATGCATTTATGTTTTATTTTCACATGATATATATGTATATATACATATACATACAGCACACTACATATAATAATACAAAAAACAAGTCATCATTGGCAAGTTAACAAAAAGTTTTCAGGTTGGCTATAAGTTACTCAATCAAAAATGATTCTCATTTTCAGTAGCTTAAAAAAATTGGGCAGAAAATTTATAGGCCTTGAAGGTTGCCTCAAAAACAATAAAAAAAAACCAAACAACAAAAAAACCCAACGACAATGAACTTGATGCCATTTTTGCGGACAGGAAGTGTCTTTGCTCATCTTTCCGGTGTATGTGTCCCAGTTTGCCATTCTGGCCCGCCTGTCTGTACTGTTTGCTTAGAGGCAGGAAGATGCCTTAACTCAAGCCCTTTTTTCCCCTCTTAGGATCTGATCACAAATATTTATTGGCCACCTTCCATTTGACAAGTAAACATTAGAGCCTTGTGATTTATATCCCTTTTTTCCCTATGTGCTAAAAACTAAGCTTTTACTTGATTTCTTGATTGAAAAATGGCTGCCACATGCCATGAGAAGCTTCACAAGTCACTAGTTAACATGTATGTTTGAGACAGATAGTGCTTTTTTTTGTAGGTTCCAGAATAAATAGCTATAAATGAGGATTCCAGGAGCTGGAATGACCCAAATCGGACTCCTCCAGGGATTTGAAATCAAATCATGTATATGAATATGCTCAATTTGAATAAATCCCTATTCCAAAAGTCATACGATGTGTATGTTTATGTTATAGGTTAGTAGACTTAGTGATAAACAATTTTGCTGAAGCAAATTCACCAACAATAGCAGAATGCCTATTGATTGTCCTGAATACACAGGAAGGAAAACCATTGGTATTAGACATTCTGAACATTATTTAAACCTTTTCTTGACCTTCTTGTGGATGGTCAGACCCCGTTGTGTCCTATTAAGACTGTTTATTTCCACACCGGCTTTGGAAGCAGACCCTTACCAAATTATCCAAGGCTTCGTGGTCCATGGGAGGCTGCTGGAGCATGGAGGGGAACCAGAAGAGGACTGTGAGATTTGGTAACTATAGTAGAAAAGACTGTTAGCAATTAATTTTGTCTAGATCACAATGCTCACAATTTGTTTTCCATGCTTTGTGCTGACGAGGGACAATTCACCGGGAGGGCTGGAACGAGTGATAGTTACAAGGCCTGGTCCTACCGAATCCAAGGCTGTGAGCCCTGGACACCAGTGCAATGCTTCATCCTGCAGCTGTACGCGTGCCTAAAGCAAGAAAGGGGCTGCGTTAGAATCTCAGAGCAGGCCAGAGCTCTGCACAGCTAAGACAGATCCCTGCTCAGCTACTGTGAGAAGTAGGATCCTTTTTTGCTTAATGCGTTATTGGAAAGTTTGTGGATTAATGGGACAAGACCGTGTTTTGTTTCTATGTCTACTTCACAAGAATAGTTTGCATAAATTTAAATATTTTACATGCCATTATTTGAGATGATCAAAGAGTCCAATTAAGAATCACGTTAATCTCGCGAGACTAAGACACTGAATAGGTGTCTTCCTCCATTTCTCATTTTCATGCTTTTCAGATGGGAGACACAGGTTCTGGCTAACGGTGATGTTGTCACTGTGTGCTCTCCTGGAGGTTCTGCAGGGCTGTGATGAGAACTGCTTTCCTAAGTCGGACACTTGAGAAGCTCTGTTAGATCGAACTTCTACTCAACAGTGAGCAGGCAGACTGGGCATTGGAGCTTGGACTTGTCCTTCCTCTCTGACTTTCTAAAGCCTGCTACTACTGCGCTGTGTTCTGGTTTATCTTCATTCCCTACAAGTAAGGTAACAGTAATACCCCCCCAGACTTTTTGAATCATGTCCATTGAGATACATCTGTCCCTTTGTTCAACTCCGAAGCAGTCCTAATCCTCTGCTTTGGCAAGATGGCTTTCTATAGATTCAGTATAAAATTCTATACCAATGAGAAAGGTAAGTGATGTGCTAATCTCTTAATGCAGTGCTGTAACTAACTTACGTAAAACACACATGGCTTTAAAACTGACCCCTTCTTTGTGGTAAGCTTAGATTTCTTAAATTTAAGCAGATACAGATAATATAGCAAAAAGGATAAGATCCAAGGTACCCAGATTAACAATAACAGCAACCACAACAATAATAATAACCTGAAGTTTTTTTTCATCTTGGGGAAGACATAGCAGTCATTTGTGGGTAGATACAATTAGCTAGAGAGAAAAAGTCTAAATAGTGAGTCAGTGTTAGGTCTGGTTTGCCTGAAGTGAGTAACAACAGCCAGTGGAATGGGATGCCAAAATGCTAGCAAAAGTGATTATGGTTCCAGCCTGGACAATTTCTTAGCACAATCAGCTCTAAACCAGTAGAATTCTAGGGCTGAGAAGCAAATACTGTAGAAGCAGGGGCTGGGTGAATTCTTGCTTCTTGGCTTTGACTAGCAACAGGTATTCTCAAGCTGTGTAAGGGATGATGCTAACTACAAAAACTTGTTCACAGCAATGCTGCTTCCTATGGGACTCACAATGGGTAAGCCTCCAGGATCAACTGGCTTTTTACATAGGTGCTAAGAATCTGAACTCTGACCTTCATGCTGTATAGCAAGCAGTTTACATTCTGAGCCTTACCCAACCTTGAAAGCAATGGTTTTGTCTTCTAAAATATCCTTTTAGTTTGGTGATGTTATAACATAATTACATAATTCTCCCCTTCCTTTTCCTCCCTCCAATCCCTCACATATACCCTGCTCCCTCTCAAAAGTTCATCGCCTCTTTTTCCGTCACTGTTGTTAATAGATATATACATAAATGCGCTACTTGTCAATGAATCCATTTTGAAGTGATAAGCTTTAAGTATTTCAAGATACTCTATCTCATCAGACCCAGAATCTCTTTAAAGACACTGATATAAATACATTCAGGACAATTGAAAATGATGCCACCTCCTTTAATGGCTTACACACATACTCCCTCAACACAGGTATTTTCCTTAATGTAAATTGGAAAAATGATACCGTGATGTTTCCATATAGAAGCCTTCTTCTGAGTTTTTGTGTTG